CAAGGCATGGGCTGGCTGGAGGAGGTGTGTTGGACCTAGGGCCACCTATTAGAGGTGTTGATAAGGTTCAACTTGACTTAAGGTAAGAATTAGCTCAATCCCAAGTGGTTTTGAGCACTTTGGGTTAGCCTAACTCTTGACCTAAGTGAGCCCAAGGGCTGGGCTGGCCAAGGGTGGTGCATTGGGTCAAGGGGAACCCAATGGAAGTGTTGGTCAAGTTCAATTTGACTTAGGGCAAGAATTTGCTCAATCCCAAGTGGTTTTGGGCACTTTGGGTTAGCCTAACTCTTGACCCAAGTGAGCCCGAGGGCTGGGCTGGTCAAGGGAGGTGCATTGGGTCAAGGGGAACCCAATAACACCTTGATTTGGATTCAATTTGATTAAGGTTAAGAGATGGTTCAATAGAGAGCTCTATTTGGTCACTTGGGTCAAGCCAAATGGCTAACCTAAGTGAACCCTGAAAGTGCTCTGATACCACTTGAAAGTTCGTTAGGGATGTTAAGCCCTATAGAACTGGCCCAAGCTAACCAAGAGGGTGGGTGAATTGGTATTTTAAAATTTCTTTTCACAAAGAATAAAAATCGTATAAACCAAACTCACACCACTAACAAAGTGTGGAATTAAAAGTGCGGAAGAAAAAAATTAAAACACAGAATTTATAGTGTTCAGGTCAACTCGACCTACGCACACTTCCTTGGAGGCACCCTCCAAGTATTGCACTACAAAAACTGACTCTCCTTTAGCCCCCACGGCTAGGCGGAGAAGCCCTCACAAGAACCTCCTTTTTCCCACCTGGCAAGGCAGAGACCTATCTCCTTTGCTTCCTCCTGAAGCTGGCAAAGAACCACAAACCAAGCTAACTCCTTACCTCTACCGACCCTTCCACGGCTAGAAACTAGAGACGAAAAGCAGAGCGTCCTTGAAGCAACCCTGTTGAATCCCCTCACAGCTCACCCTCACAAGATCCTCTCTCTCCCTCTCTCTCTTCTCTCCTCAAGGTCTTCTCAGGTCTAGGAGCAGCCACAGGTTCTTAAAAATGTAGAACAAGAGCCCTTAAATAGAAGAGCTTCAAAGAGCTTCATAATTGCAAGTTGCCGACTTTATCTCTCCAGGCCGATATGGACATCGCCTAGCTGATCAGTACAAACTCAGGAAGATCGGCCAGAGCATCGCCTTGGATGCAAAGCTGCCAATTAAAAATTGCTGATCGTCCAGGCCCGATCTCACGATTATCCTCCGCATGATCAGTTCAAATTATGGGAAAATCATCCTGACAATAGCCTTGATATCGATCTGACCGAATTTATTCGTCCTGAGTAACTTAAGGTTTTTGACTGGATCATCCTAGCTGATCCTGCGATCGTCCAGGCCGATATGATCGTATCAATCATCCTTAATTACTCCCTTGATTTCCTATCAATTAAGGCATATTTGTGAATATCGTCCAGGCCGATCAATGATTGTCCTGGCCGATAATTTAAAAATATAGTATACCTTAATTGTCTATGGCGGCAACTTCTTTATATTTTGAGCTAATCATCCTGGCCGATACACGTATCGTCTAGGCTGATATGTTAATGACGGCTACCCTAATTTAAGAATCCTGATTAGAGTCTCTGTTATGAACTCGATCTAAGGGATCGGCTTGGCCGATGTGAGCAAAAGCAGAGATTCTAAATCTCTTAAGTTTGTTTGTGTAGGGTTACTTAATATCAATCTTTTGAACATTACAAACTGACTAAAGAAGAGAAAAAATAGATTACAGACTAACTCAACCCTAAACCTACGCACTTCTAAACTGGCTTTGTCTGTTCGTCCGATCTTTGATTCCTAAAAAGTTAGAAGCAACAAGCAGTCCAAGAGAAATAGTGTTTGTCAATCATCAAAATATAAGACATGAAAATAGGTTTGCAACAAACCCAAGTCTTGGGTCTCCAAGAGGGGTCTCTTAGATGTCCAAAGGAGTCATCCCTTGGGTTCAACTAGATTTGGAGTTGTTTAGATCCATGAGTTTGGATGAGAGGGGTGTATGGGCCATTTGGTCAAACTAGGTTGACTTGGTAAACCAAGTTGACCCAAGGCAGGGATTGGGTCAAAAAGGGTTTCAAAAGTCATTTGAAAGCACTAGAGAGAAATCTCCAAGGTTGGTGGTCATTAACAAATCAAGTTTAGGCCAAAGGTCCAAAAATCCCCTTAGAGGACATTTTGGACATTTTCCTCCTGAGTCAATTCTGGGTCAAATTGAGTCTAAAAAAATGCAGACTATCGTCTGACAAATCAATAACAAGGCATCAGAGGTGATCAAAGGGTTTGAGGAAGGCTCAAAGGTCAAATTCCATTAGGTGGAATGTCCAGTGGCATGGACTGTAAATATTTGAAGGTTCTACAGCCTTTGGATTTGAATTAAATTTATAGGGTTGGAGTCCTCCAATTGAGCTCAAATTTGGAAGGTTGACATTAGAGACATGTCACATAAATATGCAATTGACAGACCCTAAATCAGATGTCAATTGATTGGGTTTCAAGGTGATGGAAAAATCACCTAGAAAGGGCTTCACGACGTCTTTAGCCTAAGAGTTCTGGGTTTGGATTGAATTAAGATTCGGATTGGGCCTAAGGGCTAGGAAGGAAAATCCTAGGATCTAGAATTCAAGAAGGATTTAAGAGTGACCTCATACAAAAATGAGGTCAACAAATGGACCCCCAACGAGTGCAGTAAAAGGAACTTCTACTGCGCACATTGGCGTTGACCGAATGGAAATTTTGAATAGAATTTTAAAAGTGTAAGGGAGGGCGTCACCCAACCTTATGTCTATAGGATGTTGATAGAAGGCTTACACCAAATAGATAGATCAACTGGGAAACCAAGGTAGGGAATACCTAACCATGGGTCTAAGGAAGGGCATCACCCAACCTTAGGCCTATAGGATGCTGATAGAAGACTTACTCCTAATAGGCAAATCAATTGGGAAACCAAGGTAGGGAATACCTAGACTTGGGTCTAAAGAAGGGCATCACCCAACCTTAGGCCTATAGGATGCTAATAGAAGACTTACTCCTAATAGGCAAATCAACTGGGAAACCAAGGTAGGGAATACCTAGCCTTGGGTCTAAGGAAGGGCATCACCCAACCTTAGGCCTATAGGATGCTGATAGAAGACTTACTCCTAAAAGGCAAATCAACTGGAAACTATAATGGTGCCACAAAGGGCATACTCAACCACTAGCGGGCGTGAATTAGGATGGTGCTATGAAGGGCGTACTCCACCACTAATCCCCAAGTCAAATGCTAGAGTGGTGCCACGGAGGGCGTACTCCACTAGCGAGTGTGGATTAGGATGGTGCCACGAAGGGCGTACTCCACCACTAATCCCCAATTCAAATGCCAGGGTGGTGCCACGGAGGGCGTAGTCCACCACTAGAGGGTGTGGATTAGGATGGTGCCACGAAGGGCGTACTCCACCACTAATCCCCAAGTCAAATGACAGGGTGGTGCCACGGAGGGCGTAATTCATCACTAGCGGGTGTGGATTAGAATGGTGCCACGAAGGGCGTACTCCACCACTAATCCCCAAGTCAAATGCCAGGGTGGTGCCACGGAGGGCGTACTCCACTAGCATGTGTGGATTAGGATGGTGCCACGAAGGGCGTACTCCACCACTAATCCCCAAGTCAAATGCCAAGGTGGTGCCACGGAGTGTGTACTCCACCACTAGCGGGTCTAATCCTAAGGGTAGGAACAATCGGACCTTAAAGAGAAGATAAAATAAATTAAAAAAAAGCATTAAAAAGTAGAGAAACATAAAAGAACCAGAACAAAGTTTCAAATCGAAAAAGGGATTTTATTGATTGATAAAACGAGCTACATCAAGCATAGGATTTCTGAAGGAAACGCCCGTTGATAGGTAACATTGGGTGATTTCTCTTACAATCCACTAGCTGATATGAGCCTCCTTCGTAGACAATCTCTATGACGAACGGTCCTTCCCAAGTTGGTTCAAATTTACCACCCAACTTTCGATGGGCTAAGATAGGCCTCCGAAGGACCAGTACCAAATCTCCCACTTGGAAAGTCCTAGGTCGCACTAGCTTATCATGGACTTGAACCATACAGGATTTGTATAACTCTAGACTTTGTTGAGCTTGGAGACATCGCTCTTCAGGGCCTTCGAGTTCTTCCATCTGCAGTTTTGCATTTTATTCATTCGTAATTTGATTCCGAACTGCAATCCTGAGCAAAGGGATTTGTACTTCTAAGGGTAGAACGGCCTCTGATCCATATACAAGTGTAAACGGGGTGGATTGAGTTGGGGTTCTATAAGTGGTATGGTAGGCCCACAAAGCTTCCACCAAACTCTCATCCCACCATCGTTTGTTGTCATCGAGGGTCTTTTTAATAATTTGCACCAAGGTTTTGTTGAAGGCCTCAGCCAATCCATTTCCTGGGGGGTAATAGATCGTCGAGTATCTCCAATAAATATTATGTCATCGTACAAAACCATTGATTTTTGTGGACTTGAATGCATACCCATTATCAGATATAATTCTGAAGGGTATGCCGAATCGATATTCGATATGGTTGCGAAAGAATTTTAAGACATGGTGGGATGTTACATTACGCAGGGGAATCGGTTCCACCCACTTTGAAAAGTAATCAGTCACAACTAATATGAAACGATGACCTCTTCAAGAGGGAGGGTTAATCGTCCTGATGATATCTGTACCCTAACTCTCGAATCCCACGAAGCTATCGTAGGGTGTAAAACATTAAACGACTGATATAAAACCACACCATGGACCTGGCATTGACGACAGTGCTTTGCAGTATTCATGCAATCGTCAATCATTATAGGCCAGTAGTATCCAAGTCTTTTAATTTTCAATTTCATTTTTGGACCTGATTGATATGCACCGCATAGTCATGAATGAACTTCATTAACAATCTTCAGGGCTTCTCGTTTATCCAAACAACGCAGCCACATCTGATTGAATGATCGACGTTACAGTAAGTTGTTAACTAGTGCATAAGATAGGGCACATTTCTCAACTTGATTGGAAAGAGATTTATGCTGGAGAAGTTTCCCTTCTCGAAGGTAGTCAATTAAAGGTTGTCTCCAATCGCCTTCCTCATCAGTCGTTGAAGAGGCAAAAAGGACTTGGAAGGGATTCTTACTGATGTGTTCCAAATCTATAGGAGAAAGGGTTTTGCGGCCCTGGATCTCTATAGGGGTGGAATCTTCCTCAGGACATGCAAATTCGTTTGCAAGCTTTACTAAGGCATCGGCCGCAGAATTGCTTCCACGGGGAACCCTATACAGAGTAACAGTAGGAATTTGTTCAAGCAGGTGAAGTGTGTACTGGTAAAATTTCAGGAGATTAGGATTTAAGACCTTGTAGGTTCCTGCAACTTGGTTAATCACCAGTTGAGAGTCGCCAAAGATCTTAATCACTTTAATTTCCATTAAAATTGTAATTTCCAAACCAGTTATCAGAGCTTCATATTCAGCCTTGTTATTTGTGCAGGGCTCCGACGTTATAAGTGCATCAACCCTTTCTCCGGCGTTATAAAAATTAAACCAACCCCGGCCTTTCTAGGAATTGTAGATTGTTGGGTGGCATTCCCACGAGAGGATGCTGCACCATCAAAATATAGTTCCCAGATGGCTTCTTCAGATTCCCTCAAACTCATGATTTGTTCATCGGGTAAATCATCGTTCAAAGGAGAATCTGCCGGCAGCGGGTGTGATGCCAGAAAGTCGGCGACAGCCTGCCCTTTTACAGAACGGAGGGGAGTAAAAGTAATCTAAAAAAGGAGCAGTATCATAGACTAACGAGCTAAACGTCCTGATAACGTAGGTCGGGTCATAAGATACTGCAAAGGATTAACTTTTGAAATCAAACTGATTGAGTGGGAGAGCATGTAATGCCTTAGTTTTTGGGCCGCAAAAACTAAAGCGAGACAATGCTTTTCAATTGAAGGGTATCGAATTTCAGTAGGAAGAAGTCTTTGACTAAGGTAATAGAGAGCATTCTCTTTCCCTTCCTTGTTGACTTGAGCTAGCAGAGCACCTAAAGACTCGTCTAAGGAAGCAGTGTAAAGAATTAATGGCTTCCCTGGAAAAGGGGCTGCCAGAACTGGTGGGTTAGACAGGTATTGCTTGATATTGTCAAAAGCATTCTGACACTTCTCGTCCCATACGAATTTAGTGTCTTTTTTCGTAAGGACAAAAAAGGGTTGACATTTTCCGAAAAGGTTAGAAATAAACCTTCTTATATATGCCAATCTTCCTTGTAGAGACCTTAATTGAGTAAGGCTCTTAGGGGATGGCATATCTAAGATGGCTTCAATTTTAGCAGGGTCGATCTCAATGCCTTGGTGCCTCACTACAAATCCTAAGAATTTCCCTGAAGTGACGCCAAAGGCACATTTCAAGGGGTTCATTTTCAAATCATAGCGGCGCAACCATTCAAATACAACTCTTAAGTCATATAGGTGAGCCTCTTTGACCTTGCTCTTGACAACTAAATCGTCAATGTGGCACTCAACTTGATTGTGAATTAAGTCGTCAAAGATGCGAGTCATGGCCCGTTAGTAAGTTGTTCCAGCGTTCTTTAGGCCAAATGGCATTACCTTATAACAAAAGATTCCTATAGGGGTTTTGAACGCAGTATTCCTCTCATCTTCTGGGGCCATCTTGATTTGGTTATAACCTGATCAGCCATCCATGAAAGAGAAAATAACATGTGAGGAGGCAATGTCCACCATAAGTTCTGGTATTAATAGGGGGAACTCGTCTTTAGGACATGCCTTATTCAGATCCCTATAGTCGACACAATTCCAAATCTGACCATTTTTCTTTCGAACTGGCACGACGCTCGCCACCCAAGAGGGGTATTGTTCCTCTCGAATGAACCCGGCTTTAGCCAATTTCTTAACTTCGGAAACGAATTGTTGCTAAATCTCTAAGAGCATGCGTAGAGGAGCTTGTTTAACAAGAATGGCATCATGCTGAACCCCAAGTTTGTGGATCGCTACCTCAGCGGGTAAACCTGGCATTTCGTCGTATGTCCAAGCAAAGCGGTCCCTGAACTCGAACAAAAATTGAATTAAATCTCGGGTATCACCCTCACTAAACAGAGTACTTATAAAAATCGGGCGAGGGTCATCATCGTTTCCCAAGTTAATTTCTCTTAACTCATCGACTGTCGATTTGATTTCCTATTCAAATTCAGGGGGTGCATCCCGAACTTGAAGGTCATCGGAATAGTCTAAAGTCTCCAAACAAAGCCCATCCAGATGATAGAATGGATCTGTAGGGATATTTGGATAATCAAGATAGTAAGTTATCATTAGGAAATACTCATCATCATCAAATGAACTAACGGTTCCAAAGCCAATACCACTTGTTGAATTTTTCTTTATCTTTGTTTGCCAAATATTCTCGTGGTATCTAACTTGACCCTTAGTCCATCGGTATGGTATAGAACCCTTTGAAAAAGTATTTTTTACACAAACAGGGAAGTATCCGAAAGGTAATTCCATTAATTCATTGAAATCTGCCTCTTCAAGGGTTACATCACCTTCGTCCCTTGCGGAGGAGGAGTCAGGAAAGAATTTCTAGACTTTCTTTACTTCACCGTTCAAGTTGGGGGCCACTTTAACTTCTAACCCTACAATCCTGCCTGCCGGCAGTGGGGTCAGAGAAAGGGCCTCAATCCTCTTACTAAGCTTTTCGTACATTATTAATTCAGGCTCGTCACTTTTAACTTTTGAGATATGTACCTCGGGGTCACTATCCTGTTCTAAGGTGAGATCAAATTTTAGAGGAGTATTTATATTCCGGTAATCGAGAGAGAGGGCAGCACCTTGATTTTCTAGTTCACCATCAGAGTCTGATTCCAAGTCAATATATATAGGTGTTGATCTCCTATCTAATGAAGCACGGCCTCGACCTCGTGCCCTCAAAGCCATCCTCCCACCTCTTTGAGGTACTGTGTTTGGAGGCCTAAGGACAAAGATATCAGAGTCGTCTTCACTACTTGATTGTGTCATTTCTTGATTGATATTTTTACCTTTTTCTTTCTTTTGGTTGGATTTTTGTCTAACCATTTTCTCCTCAAATTTGATCTCTAATTTAGAACGGGACGAGGACCCTTTTGGTACGAAATATGCAGCATCTTCGTAGATCCCAATTTCTTGAATTGAGAATGGTTGCAAATCACCCTTAATCACATGTTCAATGCCGTCTCGTTGATACTTAATGCATTGGTGCAGGGTAGATGGAACCATTCTATATTCGTGAATCCAAGATCTACCTAGAAGAGCGTTAAAGGACATTGTCGAATCAATTATATGAAATTTAGACTCAGTTTTCAACCCTCCTATCTCTAGGAGTAAAGTGATTGAACCTAAAGCTCTCTTGCCCTTCTCATTGAACCCACGAAGCACCAACCTATCGGTCGAGAGCTTGCTAGTATCAACTCTGAGATAAGCAAGGGTCTTTATGTTCATCACGTTGATCGATGCACCCAGATCAACAAGGACTCTTGATAACTTGAAATTTTCCATGTCTACAATAATATAAAGGGGACGGTTGTGGTCAACGGTCCCCAAGAGTAAATCTTCGTCAGAGAAAGTAACTCCGGGGACCTCTTTGAAGTAGAGGGCCTCATCTTCTAAAGTTGAAGCCAGTTGGGCTAAACAAATCTCAGGGTCAAGAAGAGCTCTGACCAAAGACTCCCTCATTTCCTTGGAAAGGAGGATGGCGTCGTAGATGCTTAGTTTGGCTGGCAACTTCTTAAGATGGGCCAAAACATTGTACTCAACCTTAGGGATGACGGACTCAAAACTCGAAGGAATTAGAGGGAATTCTAATTGTTGAGGAGAGGCTGGATTTAGATCTTTGAAGGGGGATTGCTTGCCTTTGTCCTGAGGGGGCAGCCTAGGAGGTAAGACTTTACCGCCACGAAGTTGCACCAGTTCGATATCCTCGGGCGGGAAAACTAGAGCGGTGTCTACACTCACTGTAGGCATTGGATCATCGTTTCCCGAAATAGAGTCAGAATCTGAAAAATCTATCTCGATAGGACTTCCTTGAAAATTAAATTGGGGGAAATCACTTTCTAATAAGGTTTCATATTCGACATCTTCTTGAGTAATCAACTCGGAGAGGTCAGTTTGATTAACATCAAGATTTATTTCACTAGAAGTTTAATTCAAAATAGGAGAGTCATCAATTTGTATTTGAGATTCATGACCAATCATCAGGACAGAAGTAGAAGGATGTTTTTTATTCATCTTTTAACCCTACGCCTTTGATGAGGCAAAGTAAAAGTCAGATAACAAAAGTGGGGAAGGGGTTTAACACCACCATCCGCCATTCTAATACATCTCTCATCAACACACTTCCTCTCTACAAAATCATCTTTCTTTTCTTTTACATTTTTCTCAGTAGTTCCTACGGATACTGGAGAGGGAAGTGGCTCAACATCCTTCTGTGAAGCGTCCAGGTCAACCTTCTACACTGGGGCCTGGGCTATTGTAGTCAGCTGTTGAGAAAGACGAGAAGATTTGTTAATCGACTTTTTAAATGCCTGGGACAAAGCAATGTCCCAACCATCTTCAATATGAGTAGAAGGATTAAGAAGATTACCTAAGATCATTTTGAATGAAGCCTTTTCCGGATTGACCAAGTATTCTTTAGAAATTATAATGTTACCTTGGATGTAGTTCCTCTCAAGCCAATCTTTGAACACAACACAGTCCTCAAGTGGGTAACTAAGCATCCCGTGGTATGGACAATACTTGGGATCTTCTTTCTTATTCTCATCCTCGGGTCTTCTTGCCTCTGGCAACTGAAAATCAGGCTTCTTTAACAAGCTCTTAAAGATCTTCTTAACTGATTCCCTTTTAAATGGATAAGGCTTTGCCAATCGCTCTTTAAAAGGGATGAAAGCAGGATCTCTAGCATGCTGAGGAACTATCTGAAAGGGTTGCCTCTGAGGTGGCTGTGGTGGAGGTGGAGTACTAGGCTGACTAACCACTGGACTCTTTCCTTTATCTATCGTTGAGACCACAACTTTCGTTTCAAAAGTTTTGACCAACTTAGGACCCCTCTTATCTTCAGACTGCTCTCGTAAGAATGGCATCCTAGGAGCCTCTTCCTGCAAATTGCTAGCCTTATTAAGAAGTTTTATAAAAGTTTTAATATTGGAACCCTTCAGGAGAAAAGCAACAGGGCCGTGGATATTCTTTAGCAGGATCTCCATCACGTGTTGCTCTTCCAACAGGGGTTCACACTTCATCGAGAGGTTTCACCACCTCAAGATGTACTCAACCAGAGACTCTCTCGGCTTTTGCTTTTCAACCACAAGATCGCCCATAGTGGTGTGTTGTTGCGCTCCAGAAAATCTCTTAAGGAAAAAGTTTTCTAGATCGCCAAAGGTTCTCACTGAACCGTTGGGCAGAACGGCGTACCATTCAAAAGCAATGGCGGATAAACTACTTATAAATTGGTGAAATAGTATAGCATCTAACCCTCCTGCGTTGCAACAGCTTGCTCGGAAGTGGGCCAGATGCTGTCTCGGGTTTTCTACTCCAGTGAAAATTTTAATAGTTGGTGGCACAAAACTCTTTGGGTAAGGAACTGAGTCATATTCTTCGAGGTAAGGTCTACCTTTTGGAATAAACGCGATTCCTTGCGAAAGGGCTAAGGCCTCCCTTACCTGGTCCTCAATCAGTTGCTTAATGTCTTTCTAGGGCGGAATTGGAGGTGCGGTGGAAATTATAGGCTGGACTGGAGGTGCTTCTATCGGGAAAGGAAGAGCCACATGTGGTGACTCAAGTGGTTTGGAACTAAATTCTGCCCGTTTAGCCTTTTCTGTGATCTCTCGAGCTGATTGCTGGATTTTAAGGGACTCTTGCTGTGATTTATCCAACCTTTCCTACATTTCCCTGACTTGTGACATCATGCTCGCAAGCTTAGTCTCCAAGTTTTTTATATGCTCTTCCTCTCTTGCTTTTACAGACTCATCTGAATCTGACTCAACAACATGTGAATCGTCATCTCTAACAGATCGACGTTTGCTGGGCTCAGCTTCTTTATTAGACCCCCTGATCTCAACCATATAAATGCTACCCACATAGTCATCTTCATCTCCAAGAAGATCATCCAAATCTGGGTAAAAAGAGGCCATTCCTTCTTTATTAAACAAGATGTTCCTTATCTCTTGTACTACCTCCTCAACCGGTCTATCACCAATTGACTTAGGATCGAGGGATAAGTATCCTTTGTACTCAACCATATCAAATAGTTCTTCAGAATCCAATAGGGCAATGATTTCTATAAGATTTGGGTTAGGATCTGGTTGAGACTTTGGAACTGGTTCATCTTCCATTTCTAGATCCTGGTCAATTCTCTCCTCTTCGACTATTCCAAAACTAGTAGTCAGAAGAGTGGCATCCTCTATGGGGAGAGTGACATATACCTCAGGGGGAGAAGCAGGAGCTTGTAAAGTGATGGCTCCTATATTTGGCAAGGTAAAGTCCTCAGACACCTAACTACGGGGCCTAGGAACGACACT